TCCCATACCACTGGCCTACACCCCAGCTCTGTGTGCATAAATAAATAAATCTTAAAAAAAAAAAGGGTGGGCCTCCCCTGGTGGTGCAGGGGGTTAAGTGTCTGCACTGTGAAGCTATCACCAGCCATTGCAGCACGAGTTTGATCTCTGGCCAAGGAGGTGACCCACATGGTGCAGCAGACCTCTCTGTCTTACCTGTTGCTCCCCTCAGCAGTGTAATTTCAGTAGGTCCACCAGTTCTGCTCCCCACCCTGTCTCTGGTGAATCCTCTCACCTCCTGTACCGCTAGCCTATGCCCCAGCTCTTGTATGCATAAATAAATTAAATTAATCTTAAAAAATGGGTGACCCACGGGGATTGCAACTGAGATAGAAAAATGCACAAAAGTATGTAAAAATAAACTAATATATATAAAAAAATGAGTGGACTTGAGAACTTTTTGAAAGAAGACAACAAATGATCAACAAGCATGTGAAAAGATGCTCACATTACTGATCACCAGGGAAATGCCATTCTCAACGATCACCAGTAATTTTACTACGTCACACCCATAGCATGGCTTCTATCAAAGCAGCAGAAACTAATATACAATGGTGAGGGACTGTAGCAACTGGAACCTTTTTGTTCTTTGCTGGTGGCAATGGAAAATGATGCAGCTGCCTTGGAGAACAATCAGGTGGCCCCTCAATAAGCTAAACACAGGATGGCACATGACACAGCCATTCCTCTTCAGGGATATCCCTGAGAGAATTGCAAGCAAAGACTCAGATACTTGTACATGCATTCTTAGAACTACTCACAATCGATAAAAGGGGAAACATGCCAAGTGTTCGTCAGATGGTGAATGGTTGAACACAGCGTGGTCCATCCACATGGGGAGTACCATTCAGCTGTGAACAGGAGTGAAGCCCTGGCTTGCTACATACAACATGATGGACCTCAAAAAATGATGCTGAGTAAGAGAGCAGACACAAAAGGCCACAGTGTGTGGACCACTGATACGAGATGTCCAGAACAGGCAGATCCAGTAGAAGACAGATGAGTGGCTGTCACATGGGCATGGGAGTGTCTGCTCACGGTGATAGGATCTCTTTTGGGGTAGTGAAAGGTTTTCAAACTAGATAGAGGTGATGGTTCGTTATGCATCAAACGCCACCATTCACTTTAAAATGGTGCATTTTATGTTATATGAATTTACTTCAATAAAATAAAAAGAAAAATGTTTGAAAACTGAAAAAATAGCTAGGAACTCTCCCGGTTGGGAACTTTTGCAGGCAGAGCTACAGGCAGCATCAGTAGCACCTCTGCACATAGGCTGCTCAGTGTCCTCATGGCCAGGACTAGGAGCAGGGGTGGATGGACGCAAGAGAAATATCCCTGCCAGGCATTCAGAGGGTGTCTGGTCATGGCCTTGCGCCCACGTACGCTCCATGTCTAGTTGTCTGTTCCCTGTGTGTATGTTTTACCGGGGTCCTCATGGGGCCAACATCTGTCAGGAGGAGATACACATAGATGGCTTTAGTCAGGTGGTTTGGGGTGGTGAGCTGTGCAGGAGGCAGCCTGTGGGGCCAGCCCAGCTGGAGGCTCCCGGCAAGGCCCCAAACTGGCAGAAGAACTGCAGGGATGCCAAGTGTTGGAGCTCAGTGACCAGAAAAGAAGAGGATGTTGTCTGGGAAAGGGGAAATTGAGGCCTCCAGGGAGCACACAGCTGTTCACCTGGCCCTCCATGTGCCCATTCCCACCCCCACTTGCCTCCCTGGCTTTTCAGGAAAAATCTGGCATGTAGTGTTCCTGCTCCTTAATCTCATTAGAAGGCCGGCCAGTTGTCATGGAAGCTGCTACTGGCCTGACCTAAGTTCTGGCTAGAGGTGAAGCCTTGGGGGACTGGCAGGTAGTGGGTGTGACTGTATCCTGTTCTGCAGAATGAGAGTGAGGGCGAATGAGAGTGAGGTATCGGCCCTGGACAAGTGCCCACGTTGGTCAGGCCATGCCTTCTGAGGCCCCTGTCCCACCAGGCCCCCTTGGATGCTGCGGGCAAGGGCATGGCCCTCAGGGCAGGCATTTGTACTGTCTTATCAGGAGGACAGAGGGAAGCCATTGAGCCCGCATAGGGCTCTACAGGGAGAGGGGGTGTGGGGCGCAATAGGAAAGAAGCTTTGTGCAGGGGACTCAGGCACAGGCTCTCTGGGATTCGAGGTATCCAGGCTGAGGCAGTGTCTGAGGCCTCCCCTGAGGGCGCTGATGTGGAGTAATGGGATGATGCTCCAGTCAGATGCTTCCGGAGGAGCTGGCATGGATCATGCAATGGTCAAGTTCCAGGAGTGGGGTCCAAACCCCAGTTGGCCACTTCCAGCTTGGTGGCTCTGCGCAGGTCCCTAGTCTACAGAGCCTCTGTTTTCAACTGTGGAGTGTGCTGGTACCTCTCCCCCCCACATACTTAAAGGACCTATCATGGGTTGAATTGTGCACCCACAAAAGGTGCATCCACATGTTTACCCAAGGAACCAGGGAGTGTGACTTCATTCAAAATGCAGTTAAGGGTCTGGAAAGGAACTCACCCTGGGCTAGGGTCAGCCTGTTCCTCATAGAATAGACATTGTATGAGAGAAAGGAAGGAGATTTGGAGGGGAAGCCATGTGATGACAGCGGCAGACTGAAGGGGAAAGGCCATGAGCCAAGGATACCAGTGGCTAAGAGTCATGGAGGCTCCTCCGCTGGAATCACCAGGGGGATTCTGGTGGGATGTTTGCCTCTTGGCTGCTAGATGTCAGTTCCTGCTCTTTTGAGTCTTCCATTGTGGTAGTGGCCCAGGGACTGAAGGTTCTGTGCTCCATGGTGAGAGCTTAGAGACACCTCCTGGGTGTCACTTGTAATGCTCGGGCATGGACATGACAAGCACAAGGTGTCCAAGGCCTGTCTTGTGACACCCTCCCCCCCAACCCCCGCCCTCATACCTTTCCCTGATGCATGTGGCAGGGATGACTTAGATACCTGACCTGTCACCTCTGACCCTTAGAGTCACTGTTGGTTGTTCTGACCTCGTGTAGAAGGGTTTGAGAGGCACGGATTTAGGCTGTTTTTCTGGGAAGATCCAGGGTTACAGCAGGTGGGTGAGTGGTGAGGCCAGATACAGGGTGACATACACTGGGGAGCCCACTGTGGCAAGGGACCTTGTGGCCAGCTGACCACGAGTCCTGGGGTACCCACTCGGTAGGGATGGGAGGGATGGTTGCTGGGGGTCACCACCATTTCCGGCATGTAAATATCAGATAGACCAGGAGGTGTGCGGGTGGTCAGTGACTGTACATGTTGCTTCTTAGTTTTGATGAGCCCCCAGCAAGGTCATTAGGGAACTTTGGGTGGGGGTGTTGGGAACTCTAACATCTGTGCAATTTTTCTGTAATCTAGAACTTCCACCATGGAAGCTATTGAAACAATAGCTGGGCTTTCCCTGGTGGCACAGCAGGTTAAAGCACAGCACTAAGAAGCTAAAGCCACTTCAGCGTGAGTTCCAACCCTGCCCTGGAGGTGACCCACACAGTGTGGCAGACCTCTCCTGACCTGCCAGCTGCTCCTCTCAGCAGTGTACTTCATCAGTCAGCCTGTTCTGCTCCCCACTCTGCCTCTGGTGAATCCTCTCACTGCCCCTGCACCTCTGGCCTGTACCCCAGTTTTATATACATAAATAAATCTTTAAAAAAAAATAGCAAAGCCACAGTGGTTGCCTCAGTGACTTGGGGTCTGCTCTGAGGGCAGGTATCAAAGAGGCCCGTGCTGGGAAGGTACAGAAGTGGGTCTGTCGCAGGCCAGTTGTGTATCTCACACACATGCACTTGGGAAATCCACTCTAGAGAAGGGGAGCCAGGAGCTGAAGGGGTTTGTGAGAGGGGGATGCAGCACAGGCTCCCAGGCACAAAGCAAGCATGGAAGGGGGTCTCAAGTGCTGGCATGGGTCCTGCCTGGCTCCCTTCCCCCCAGCAGGGGCTGGTCTGTTTCATCTGGCGTGGCTCTGGGTGGACAGTGGGGTGTCTGTGGTGAGAATCTCCAGCTGTGGGGGAGAGATTTGGGGCCAGCCCCACTATGCCCAGAACCACCCGCGAGGTTGGGAGCAGGGTCAGCCCCCTTCCTGGCTCCTACAGCTTTCAGGAAACAGCTGTTTACCTGGGTGAGGTGTGGGCTGGCCGGCAGGCAGCCAGTTCCCAGCCTCACTTCCCGCTCGGTTGTCAACGGCCCCCCAGGAAATGGGGCTGGTGTGGGAGGAGGGGCGGTACAGCAGCCAGCTGGCGAGCCTGCCCGAGCTGTTTGTGAGGGGACGTGAGCCTCGTTGTTGTGTACACAGTGCGGACCCTAGCAACTGGCCAGCCGGCATGCCCGGCTGCTACCCAGCGGCATGTAGCCCCTTGGCTCCAAGGGCTACTGAGGGGCTGCCCAGTCAGGGGCCTCTTCTGTTGTCCCCAGCTGGGGGTGGTCAGGGAGCCAGGGCTCTAGGTTCTAAACCCCAGCCCAGGGTGCGTAAAATCCCTGAGAGTGTTGGGTAGAGGCCAGCGGAGGCATTTGGCCACCCATCTCCCCATGAGGTCAGCGGGCCAGGCCTTAGTTGCCTGGTGCTTGGGGAGGATGCCTTAGAATTGGGCAGGTCTGGCTGCCCCACTCCTGGTGTGCTGTCTGAGCGCCTTACAGCTGTACATGGAGAACCAACCCTGGGCTTCTGAGCCAGCCTCCGCTCCAGGCCGAGCAAAGCCTGTTCCTTCCATATCTGAGCCAGTACACAGCCTCTGGTCTGCACCCAGTCGTGCTGTCATGGGCCCTGGAGGTAGCCCCTGCTGGGCACTCAGGGTGTCTGGTGCTGCCTTCTGTGTGGAGAGATACTTGGTTCCTGTAAATCCTGTCATTGAATGCTGTCACCTCTTGACTCCACTGCCTGGTCTGTTTAGGGCCCTGTGAGGGTGTACTTGGAGGGTTCCCCACCTACACTGCAGCTACCGAATTATGTCTTGCAGCTTCAGCTCCAGAAGTCCCAGTACCTGCAGTTGGGCCCCAGCCGTGGCCAGTACTATGGTGGGTCCCTCCCCAATGTGAACCAGATTGGGAGTGGTACCGTGGACCTGCCCTTCCAGGTGAGTACTGCCCATTGCCACGCCCTCGCTGTCCCAAGGCTCCCCTATTCCCTCTGGCCTGGTCTGTCAACACACACCTCAGTGAGGCTGAGGTCTGGTGGCGATTGTTTCAGCAGCCGCTACACCTGTTGGCCGGCTGTGCGGCAGCGGGAACCGCTTGGGGCCTCCGGGACTTGGCTCCGTACTGCCTCACTAATCCACAAGCCCAACAATTCTCAGAAGGAGGCCCCGAGCCTGACCCCACTTGTCTGCAAACGTTTCTTGGCAGAGACCCACACAGCACTGCTCCCGCAGGCTGCATGGCTGCCGCTCACGTCCTTATCATAAATAACCAGAGATAGGTCCACTGGCCAGGCACAGGGCTGGCTTTGCTCCTCAGGCTTCCCAAGCCACACCCAAGCCTGGTTTGCAGGTGGAAGCAGGGCCAGGTAGCATGGGACACTGGGGCAACCCAGCACAGTGTTTGAATGCTGCACAAACAGGGCTACAGCCTGCCACAGATCTTCTCATTGCTGGGACAGCCTCGTAAACAGGCGTGTCCATCCACGTGCCAGTAGGCACAGTGGAGTCTGGCAGGGCTACAGGAGCTTGGTCCCCATTTACCCACCTGAGTTACTTTACAGCTGTGCCCCTCCTGTGCTGCTGCTGGCATGAGTCCTGGGGTCCCTCCTGCTAACTTGGGGCCCTTCCAGCTCAACTCTTGGGGCAGGACTCTCCATAGAAAAGATGCGCGGGGACTCTGGGTATGTTTCAGGGGCCTGGCTGCTCTCAGGGCCTTTCCTAGGTGGGGTGTTCTCCCTCTCCCCTGGCTCTCCTCTCCCGCTGATTCCTCCAGTCCCCTTTTCCTTTGAATACAGTATCTCTCTGGACACCCTGAGCTTGGCCCTGCCTGGGAGTGTGTTAGGCCCCATGGCCAAGGGGGCCAAGGTCTGTTGGGCGTCCTCTGAGATTAGATAAACCAGGATAGTCTCAAAGTCTTGGTTCTTTGATTTTCAGCCTGGCGGATTTCTGGGGGAGGCCCTGGCAGCGGCTCCTGTCTCTATGGTAAATGAGCCCCCCAGCTGCAGCCATAGTGCCCCAACATGTGCCTGGTGCTGGGTATCCCCTCTGGCCACCCCCATGGTGAGACAGGAGGTGTCTGCCCACTGGATGCAAATGAATCCAGACCCCTGCCGGGGGCAGCCGGGCATGTGCACCAATGCTGCATGGCTCACTCCTCTGACACATGCACACATGCGTGTGCACAGATCTGAGACATGGCCTGGCAAACCTGGCTGTGGCCGGGCCCGAGCTTCTGTCTGCCTCTGGCTCTGCTTCAGCTGCCTCGATTTCCCCTCTGGGCTTCCAGGCATCTTTGTGAGGTGATGAGCGGGCCCCTGCCCTCCTAGATGCTAGATGTCAAGGTCTCTGTCCACCTTTGGTCACGGCTGTCTCCCAGGCCCACTGTCTCTGGAAGGCAAAAGCACAGAATGACCCAGCTCGGCAGGATCCTTGTTAAGTCAGATGGGGACATGGTCCTCAGATGCCCAGAGAGCCGTCAGCCTTGCACGCTGGCTGGGGCATTCAGGGCAGGCACAAGCAGCCGTTGGCAGCCAGTGGCAGTCTTCCAGAAGGAAGTCACTTTTTGCCTGAATGCCCAGAGAAGACAGAAGGGCCCAAGGGCCAGATGGCCAGGCAGGAGGGGTTGGGTGAGGGGGATCAGCTGCATCCAGAGCAGGCTAGGGCCACCACTCTTGCCCCAGTCACATGGAGAGGAGCCCCCACAGTGCCAGGACAGGCAAAGTATGTAGGCTTCTGGGGGCCCAGGAACATAGAGCCTCAGGCATGCAGGGCCTGGCTGGGGGCCTCATGCCAGCCCCAGGTGCTGGAAGGAAGCCCCATCCGGCCAAGTCATGGGCCAGGACTCCGGAAAGCGCCTGCTCTTGGCTCCTGGTGGTGCTGGGATGAGGCAGTGGGGGAGGCCTAGTCTCAATCCACACTGGCCTTGGGGGAGCCAGCACATGGCCAGGTGGGCCCCTCTAAGTCCTGGGCTGGAAGCCCTGGGGCTGTCTCTTGGCAGGCCCCTCCAGGGATGACGTAGGTGGGGAGAGGAGGCTGGCCAGGCCCAGAGAGAGAGGGCGGAGGCCTGTCTGCACCTGGTGAGGCTGGGGGGGTGGGGGGTGGGCTCCCACCGTCTGTACCTCGACCGGCTGGGCCTGAGCTTTCGTCGCTCTGCCTGGCCCATGCATGCCGACCACACTGCACGCCTACCGCACCAGCGCGCAGGAAACCCTGGCTCGCTCCCACCCTGCAGCGCAGGAGGCTGGGACCCAGGAAGAAGCCCCTCCTGGTTGCAGAGTGGAAACCAGGGTATTTTGCTGGAGTGAGCCCTGATGTCAGATCTCTGGGTACGGTTGATAACTGTTTGGGTTTCTCTCATTTCTCATCTCTCTCACCACTCCCCCCTCAATGGCCCATTCTGACCCTAGACACCTTTCCAGTCCTCGGGCCTGGACACCAGCCGCACCACTCGGCACCATGGGCTGGTGGACAGAGTATACCGGGAGCGAGGCCGGCTCGGCTCCCCACACCGCAGGCCCCTGTCAGTGGACAAGCATGGACGACAGATATCCTTTCCCAAGGGATTGGGGTTGGGGGAGGCATTGATTGATATCTAACTGATGGAGCTGCTTGAAGCTGGCTGTGGGAATGGAACCAGGGTGGTCCCAGTTCTTCTAGGCTTCCCGGCAGCACCAGGACAGTGCAGTAGCAGGGTGACCAAGGAGGACTTCCTGGAGACGCAGAGATGATGCAGCAAGCTGAGTAGCTCTTGGTCAAGGTGGGGCTGGGACCTGTGGGGTAGGCACAGAGAGAGGGTACTTCTGGAATACATACCTGAAGTGGGAGTGGGGAGGAGAGGCTAGAGCAAGGTGTCCAGGCAGGGAACACAGGAAGGTGCCAGGGGAATCCCCTGGGGGCCTCCTGAGGTATCAAGGGACTGCATGGAGAACTGCCCAGCTGGGAGGGCTGAGGGACTCTGAGCAAGAACTAGGCAGATCCAAAGGGAGGATCCATCTGGACAGTACGTAAAGTTCACCTCTGTACCTCAGCCGAACAGAGATAGCTGGGGTCTTGACAGCCCCACCCTTAGCTGGTCAGGCCCCCCAGAGTCTGAGCCCTGTTCCCAGAAACCCTGCTCTCTAGAACAGAGGCCCGCTCTTTTCCAAATCCCACTTTCATGACTGGGGAGCCCAACCAGCTTACCCCACCTCAGCCCTGGGGCCCCTGAAGTCTCCCCACCCAGAGTTAGGGGTCAAAACCAGGATCAGCCGAACTAGAGGCTCTTCCACATCCATGCCTGCGTTGTCACCCAGTGCCTCTCAGAAGGGGGTGAGTGCTAGGTGCTAAGTGGACGTCGCAGCCAGGAAAGACCCTGGGCCTCCAGGAACCGCTCTGCCCCTGCACCCAGCTGTTTCTGGGCTGCGGGGGTGGGGTCAGTCTGAGCCCATAGCACCTTCCCCTTAACTCAGGCTCACGCTGACAGCTGCCCATATGGCACCGTGTACCTATCGCCACCTGCGGACACCAGCTGGAGAAGGTCAGTGACCCCAGCTGCCCTTGCCCTCCCTTGGGGGAACAAACTAACTTTCACATGGATTTTTAGAAACCAACATGCAGTCGCTTTAAATCGTAAAGCTAGAAGTTTCCAAACCTTTCTAGAAATATCCCTACACCTGTAACAGTAAGGCCACAGCTTTGAGTATTCCAGGGTGTTTCCCCCTCCTCCCCTTCTACTTACAACTTTTTTTCATGGAAAGTTGAAATTTGGATATTCAGTATATTTTAGCTTTTTTCATGTAATGCTGTGTTATGAGTGGTTTCCTACTCTTAACAGTCTTTGAGGCTGTAACTATAAAACTATTGTGTTTAACTAGAAGATTAGCAAAACATAAATATATCTAGAGAAGAAAAAAGATACACCCATAATCTCATCATCTATAAAGGTCTAGTATGAATACCTAACATAAATAGGTGATGTTGAAATACCTTTATGAACCTATTTAATTCCACAGATGTGTGCACTTTAAAAGTATTTAAAAGTTTTATTTTACCACATATACAAAATACATGATTTCAGTGAACAAATACTAAAGTTAAGCAAACTATAAATGCAATGATACAATGTATAAGATATAATTCAGTAACATAAATTTATTTCGAGCAAGCAGGTATGGTCTGTCAGACCCTATTTTGGCCACCAACTCTATTAACTTAAATATTCTCCCCATTTTAGACACAAGAACCCCAAGAAGTCAGAATACTTGCTCAGGGTCACAGCGGGAGGGTCAGGAGTCCTGCAGGCTGGTTCCTGCGTGCCCAGCCCCAGGGTCAGCCGCCTTCCCTGTAGCCTGCCTCCTCACCACTCTGAATGGGCGGGGCTGTCTCTGCTGGGTGCATGCCGGTCTGCATTTCCTCCAGGTGCTCTCAAGTGCCTGTAGTTTCCTGGGCACCCAAGGGCTCTTTGGGGGACCTTTCTGTAAGCGCCTGGGAGCAAATCATCCCCCCTGTCTATGGCAGCATTTGGGCTGGCTTCCCTCCTCTCTGGCTCTCTGGCACTGCACAGTGCCTCCCCTTCCCTCTGACACAGCTGACTTTTAACCGGAGAGCAGAGTTGCCCTGTGGGGTTTGTCACCAGAAAGGGACCCAGTGGCGGTAAGGAGGAACTAAGAAGCTCTGGGCAGTAGATTGGAGAAGACTAGTTAGGGATGGAGGGAGAGCTTTGCTAGGGGGTTTCTTTTCAGTGGGCTTTGCAGATGAAAGCCTCACCTTTTTTTTTTTTTTTTTTTGAGGACAGCTCAAAAGAACCCCAAGGCTTTCCTTGCTCCACTGGGCAGGTCTTGGGCACAGTGAGGCAGGACTATCCCTTTGTCTCGGATGGGGTCGAGACTGACTGTCTCTCCTCTCCCTCAGGACCAATTCTGACTCTGCCCTGCACCAGAGCACAATGACGCCCGCCCAACCAGAGCCCTTCACAGGAGGGTCCCAGGACACGCACCAGAAAAGAGGTACTAGCAGGGCACAGGGTGTCTTCCCTCAGGTGGTAGCCCCTGTGCCCCCAGAGGCTCAAGCTCACAGGTGGATGGGCCTTCAGAGGAAGACTCGTGTGTCTCTGGACAGTGGGAGGCACTCAGAGGAGCTTTTGGAGATGCACTGCTTGAACTGGGTTTTGAGTTGAGGAGTGTGTTGTTTTCTAGGTGGAGACAGAAGCCCTACAGAACATACATGGGCTTTGTTCTTTGATTCAGTGCATGTCCACACAGTCTGGGGCCGTGCACATGCTTTCCAGGCAGAAAGGGCATTGATCAGCACGTGACAGGTGGTCTGGGTGGACCTTCAGTGTAGCACCTCTCCCTCCAGCACTTGACACTGCTGTGTTTTCACGCTGCTGCTCAGAACCTCCCTGGTCCACAGCTCTGGACTGCTGTGTGTGGCCTGGATACAGTGGGTAGGAAGGGGCTGACCCCTACCCAAAACTTACCTAATTGGCTTTCTTGGGGGTAGTTCTGTAACCAGGCCCCCAGCCTCGCCACAGAACTGCATGTGGAAGCAGACTGCTAAGATCCCCTCTACTCTCTGACTGTGGGAAGGTACCTCTGCATCGGAGTCGCCTTGGCCCAGGGCGAAGGAGGGGAAAACCATCACTTGGCCCGGTTCCTCTGAGAGAGACTTAGGTGGTGACAGAGCCGGGAGTTAACCCTGCTGCCTCCCACCCACTAGATTTCTGGATTTCTGGAAGGAGGAATCAGCCCCTCTGGGGGTGCGCCTTATGAGGATGGCGCTCCTAACAGGCTTAGGAGGGAATCGGGTCTCATGAAGAAAGTATTTAATCTTACCTTAACTGAAATATCCAAAGAAAGGAACTTTGAGGCACAACTGGTTCAAGGATCCCAAACAGTGCCCTCAGGTCCCTAAGACCCGCCCTCTCACTCCTCTGCCGGCAGTAGATTTGCCACTGCTGTGCGTGGGCCCTGCTGCCACTGCGGACCAGTCCTGCCTCAGCCATCGTCGAGCTGGTGGCCTGGGCCCCTGTACCCCGGTGCTGGAGGCCCAGAGGAAAAGGCGAGCCCCTAGGTCGTCACTCACCTGAGGCAGGGGTCGGCCTGTGTGACTTGGAGTCTGCATCATCCTGAGAGGCAGAACCCACACATCTTTTGTTTTGTTTTTAAGACTTTTTTTTTCTGTAGAAGAACTGGGTTGTAAACAGAGGTACAGGGTTGAGAGGATTCACCAGAAACAGAGTGGGGAGCAGAACAACTGAAACACTGCTGAGGGGAGCAGCAGGTGAGACAGGAGAGGCCTGCTGTGCCATGTGGGTCAGCTCCCTGGCCGGGGATTGACGCAGGCCTTAGTGGTGACAGCGCTGAGACTTAACCCCTGAGCCACCAGGGAGGCCCCAGAACCCACACATCTTTAATTGTAGAGCTCTCGTTTTCATTTTAAGTCACAGGTTCTCTGACTTAGTCTTTAAACTTCTTTTTTCTTTTTTTCTTTCTTTCTTTTTTAATGGAACCCTATTGTACTTTAGTGTAATCCCCAGGAGTCACTGTTGGGACAGATGGTATCAGGGTTAGGACTGTGTCTGGCATGTGCTTGCCAGCCTCCACAAGGCTACAGAAATTCCTTCTCTGATTCCCTCCTCTCCACACCACCTCCAGTGTTACTGCTAACAGTCCCGGGAATGGAGGAGACCACATCTGAGACAGACAAGAACCTTTCCAAGCAGGTGTGGGACACCAAGAAGGTAAGAACCTAAGGGTTTCCAGCAACCGCTTTACTGCTTTTTGAGCACAGCCCTGGTGAGCACAGCAGTGCTGCCCACGGGGGGCTTTGCCTCCCCCGGTGTGACTCCACTCAGACACGACTGCTTAGTACTCACATGGTTAACACTTACAGAAGGCTGTTGAACTGGCGAGGACGTAAAGAGTGAAAACCCAATTTTGGCCAGTGCGAAGGGATGAATGGACAGCAGCCAGTCCTCCAGAGACCGATGTTCTGAACTCTCGAATTCAACTAGAAACAGCCTGCATGTGGGCCGGAGGGGCTTGTGAAGAAGTGGTCCCTTGTGTGGAGGGTTCCCAGTCATGCAGAGTGGGGGGCTTTAAAGTCTTCTCCTGGGTGTTGAGAGCCACGCAGTTGTACTGTGATGTGAAAAGAGCAGGCTAGAACTTATCTAAGAGGCAGAAAACACAGGGATGCATGCGCACCTATAACGGTAGACACGTCAGGCGTGTGACCAGACTGAGGGACGCCGAGAGTGGGGTGTGTCCTCGTGTGGCCATTGTGGGTGGCGCTGCAGCCCTTCATCCTTGTCTGCGTGTTACGGTTTTGCACAAGGAGTGTGTGTGATTTTCAGGCTGCGGGGAGGAGGAAGAAGGAGGGATTCTAAAACCCCAACAAAGTAGGAAGGCAGTGGAGACATCTGGCTGGGAGGGGCTGGCTAAGAGTCTTGGCACCCTCTCCCCCGTCCATGAAGCGCACCCGTAGAGACGTGAAGGTACTAAGTGTGGTGGCAGTTGGTAGGAACACCCGAAATCCCGGCAGCAAGAAGAGGGAGGCACAACCCAGGATCACTCTGGATTTGTTGGGGGCAAGACAGGGAGTGGTGATGGATTTTTAATACCATTTAGAAGTCCTGTACTATGTGTGTGTGGAATGCTTTTGAAAAGATTCTTTAGAAAGTCTTTGTCAACATGCTTTGCACAAGTCCAGTAATGAAGCAAATGTTTACTTAGAATTAGGGATCTGGTGGCCAAGTAGAAACCTGTTCCACTGGCCTCCCCACAGAGGCTTAATGCCTGCTGGTCACACACCACCCGGCTCTCCAATTGCTGCCAGCCAGTTGGGCATCCCCCTCAGCAGCCTTGTGAGGTGAGGCAGGCCCAGCCTTCCACCCATGGGGCCACATTACTGTATGATAATCCCTGCAGAACACACAGGCCAGCAGTATCTGCCCCAGGACCTGCCAGGCGCATGGGACTTGGAAACATGATATGACGGAGGGCTCCGTCAGCCTGCTGGGCCTGTCCTGTCCTGCCTGCCGCCATTGGAGGAGTGCACCCTCCTTTGTCCACGAAGAGAAACTTGAAGCATGTGCATCCTTGAAGGAGTGCTCACTACCCTGCCTGCAAGTCTTAGGCGATGTTAGTGTCCCTGACTGGAAGAGGACGAAACCAGAGTCTCTGTGTCAGCAGGCTTTTCCTGGGACCCCCACCCCCACAACCTCCCAATGCCAGGACTGGCTCACATCTTTCTTGAGCAGTGGAGACCCTGAAATAATACTGTGCCTGCAGCCCAGTGGGAGTTCTGGGGCACTGGGGCACTGCTGAAAGGCTGGGCACTGAGGCGGGCAGATAGTGACTTCCATGTGTTCGTGGCATTTGGTCCGAGCCTCACTAGGCCTCTCCACATGATACCCTTCTTGGCATGGACAGACAGGTGTTGAGCGGAGGCAGCCCCAGGAGCCCGCCTGCCCCACCCAGGAATGGCGTGAGGGTTAGCCTCGTGGCTCACAGCCTTGAGGTTGAGATGTAAAGAGCAGGCAAGATGTGTTCCCCCCACGTCAGCTGTGCAGTGGCCCATACCACCTCTGGGCTGGGTGCACACAGCATGGTCTGGAAGGGGCCTAAGGAGACCCTCTCCACACACTTGGTTTTGCCCCGGGGTGTGTCCAGGACAGGCCTCCCTCTCAGCCTGTGGGCTACCATTGTTCATCTGGGGATCTCTGGGGCCTGGGAAGGGCACTCCTTCTCCAGGGTCTCTTGGGCCTTGTGGGGGTGAGCCTTCGGGAACCCCAGTGCTCAGGGGAAGCTGCTCAGCCCCTGCTTCTTCTTTTTCAGACAGGGTCCAGGCCCAAGTCCTGTGAGGTTCCCGGAATCAAGTAAGTCAGCAGGGCCAACCCTGCATGTCCAAGGCTGCCAGGGCTGCTCAGACCACAGGGGCTTCGACCACTCACAAGGCTGCAAACCCGACATGAGGGCGGTGGCCATCCAGCAAGCCTCCTGCTCCTTGTAGGGCATTCTCCCACCCCCCACCCCACCCCCATCCCAAGTGAAGGTGCCCCCAACCCTCAGATACCCCATCCCCAGGCATCCCCTGTGTTCTACAGAGATCAGTTGCTTCCCTCTGGAAGTTCAGGCTACAGCATGGGCCAGCCGCTCCCCGACCCCCTGCCCCGCATAGCCTCAAGGGAGAACCCAGCTGCCCCAGAGCTCACCAACCCCCTCTGTCTGACCTCTCCCCAGTATCTTCCCATCTGCTGACCAGGAAAACACTACAGCCCTGATCCCCGCCACCCACAACACAGGGGGCTCCCTGCCTGACCTGACCAACATCCACTTCCCCTCACCCCTCCCGACCCCGCTGGACCCCGAGGAGCCCACCTTCCCCGCGCTCAGCAGCTCCAGCAGCACTGGCAACCTCGCCACCAACCTGACGCACCTGGGCATCGGCGGTGCCCCCCAGGGTAAGGCCAGTCAGGGGCACATCCTGCCCATGGAGCTCCTCGTCTAGTGAGGATGACACGTATGCTTGAAGGACGACTTAACAGGGTCACATCCCAAATGCCAGGCATGGAAGGGGGGAGGCAGAGCCTACCATGGGGGCCTGGCATCGCCTGGGAAAAGTGTCCCAGACGTGCACGGTCTGAAGAAAAACCCTGGGGTGGAGGGCTCGCGGTGCCCCCAAGGCTCAGGTGGTGTTTCCCAAGGTTTGTTAGGGGCTTCAGAAGGACCGGTTAAACTCAGAACGTTTGGAGGGGAGTCCTCAAGGGTTTGATCCAACTGGAGTGGGCCAGGCTTGCTCCCTGCTTCCCTCACCCCCAGCCCCTTGCCAAGAGACAGGACCTGACCTCATACCCCCTAGTACCCTCCCCACTTCTTCCTGGGTGTCCCTTGGGACATCCCCTTGATGACCCCTGCTCATCTCAGTATCTCCTGATACTGCCTCAACTCTGTTCCTCCTGGAGATTAACCCTGTCCCTCTACGAACCTGACCAAGAACCGTGGAGGATGCCTCCTTGATTCTTCTCTGCTCTCCATGCCCTGACCCGTCAGGACAACCTGGGTTGGATAGTCCCCACCACTGACATAGTCTCTCACGAGCCCCCAGCCTCTTTGCCACCCAGAATGGGTGTCAGCTCCCTGCCCTGTGCCCAGAACCTAGCATGCCCCGCACCAGCCCCCAGGTCACCCACCGGTCTGCCTTGTGTCGTCCACCCTGCCCCGCCCCTCCCTGCTTTAGCAGATGAGCTTCCCTTAAGGCCTTTGCACATGCCATCCCTCTTCGGCAGTCTCCTTTTCCTCCAGTCCCCTTGGGACCCCTCATCTGCCCAGCCCAGTCTACCCCTCTCTCTAGCAGGGTTCCCAGGTTCCTAGACTCAACCTGCTGCTTTTGAGTCATGTTGCTCCTGTCTGTTTCCAGGCCAGATACCCACCTCCTCATCTCTACTCTGCACTCACACTGGCTGTGCAGTGTGTGAATTCACACCTCAGAGAGGAGTTGGGATGGGCAGAGGGCCACAGGACCTCTGTGGGTCTGCACACGTCAGGACTCAGCAGCCAAGGGTCTCTACCTTGCCTCACCCCTAGGCCCCAGAGAGCCACAGAGCTACTGTGCCTTTTCCCGCTCACCCCACTCCAGGTGGTGGCAGTACTATAAAGCGTTTGAGAGCGTCTAAGTCAGTGTAGTGTTTGCTCTGGCTGCTGGGGAAACAGGCTGTCAGATCAGGGCAGTAGCACCTAGTCAGGGCAACTGGAGAGTTCAAGGCAGAATTGGCAGCTGGTCAGTGGGGAGTGAAGAATGTGGAGCCTTTGACTTTGGTGCCAGGACGGCTGGGGCAGTGGCAGGGGCGCTGAGGATGGAGCCCCTGTCCTCAGGATTTCAGACGAGAAGATGGAGCCAGAACAGTGGGCAGGGGAGCAGGCTCCCAGCCCAGCAGCGTCGAGACTCCTCTCTCTTTCACATGCCTGGCCCCATTCCCACTGGCCCAGAGAACAAAACGAACAGACTCAAGGAGCCTGAGACCCACAGCCCCCCGGCCATGGTGGGGTGGGACTACGGGTACACACACAAACACACACGTGCAAAGTAAGGGATCAGAAGGTTGGCTCTGGGAGCCCCTTGTGTAGATGCTGCTGTTTATAGGCCCCCGTTTTCTTGACGCAGCCTCCAGCCCTTCCACCCGAGGGTCCTTGGCAGCCCCCCAGCACATGCCTCCCTGGGAGCCGTGCACCTCCAGCCTGCACCCAGTCTAAACAAAGAGCAGGAAAATGCAACACATGTGAAAACCATAGGCGTGGGAAGGAGCAGACCCCCGAGCGTGGGGCCCAGACCCGGGCCGCCTGGCTCAGAGCACTAGCCATAATGTCTGACATGTGTTCTGTTTGCGAACCTGCCGCTCCAGCAGCCCGCCTGGCAGGGCCGTAGCTTTCCAGGCGCGTTTTAAGTCAAGCTGAGCTGCCAACCCCTGGCACACATAGAGATCGCCCCCACCCCTGGCACGCCTGTTTATCAGAAAGCAAACCTCTGAGGAGGAGGAGGAAGGCCTCAGATTGGGGGACAATGGCCCCTCTTGTCTGCTTCCCTGGAGCCTGGAGGAGGGGAGACCCCATCCTTCTTCCTGGCAGAGCTTGGCGCCAGCAGCCCTGAACGGGGGGTTCTGTGCCTTGGGCAGTCCCTGCCACCTGGCAGCCCTCCTTACCCACCCTGACTTCCCTTCCTGCTGGCCCCTTGCCTTTCTCAAAGGCACTGTAGACTTCCAGGAGGAATTCAACATCAAGGTGTCCATCCGCTTCTCTGGCCCAACTGGACTCTCCAAAGTGGTAGTTGCTCCTTAAAGCCCAACAGAGAAGATTAAAACAACTTTGTGTTTGAGTCTACCCCACTGGTGAAGTGTGCCTGGCCCTAGCCCTTGTGGTACTTTGAATTGATCTTTAAACATGAAAAATGGTTTCTGGCTTCCCTTGAAGGTATGGAAGGCCCAAGTGGTGGGCACAGGCCCTGAGCCTCTAGTTGGCGGAGAACTCCCGTGTGCTGCTCCCTGCCCCCTGTTGCCCACACCACGCCTTGTTCCTGGCATTGCCTCCGCTGGTTGCCAGCATTCGGTCCCCGGGTCCCTAGTGTTCTGGGCCATGAGGCTGTATACTCTCAAGGCAGACGCAGGACTGACCCAGAGTCCTGACCGTGCGTGTACTACCAGTGGGTGCTGTTCACATTCCCACCCAGTCCTCTCTTGACCCAGCTGTGTCTGTAGCAGCCTGATTCTGGACCACAGTCTGCAGAAATGGGCCCTGGGGCTCAGTACAAGGTGCCAAGGTCCCCAATTCCTACCACATGGTGCTCAGCCAATCGGGATGGCCACCAGGGCATCCAAGGGGAAGAGCAGGTGTGAGCAGGCCCGCCTGACCCAGATAATACATCCTTGCAAGTAGCTGCCCTGTGGAGAGGAAGGGTGCCCCGCCTACTTCTCTTGGGATATTTTGATTGATTGTGCTCCCACCTGCCATGAACCCACATCTGACCTGCTGGAACAAGGTTGAACTGGTACTTTTGGCAGGATTCCTTCACCCTACCCCACCCACTCTGGTGAGCCGGTGTCTTAACCCAGCCTTGCCTGCAAGCTAGGTCTTCAGAGACCTCACTAGGGTCTCTGGGTGAACTCAGGAGGATTCTTATCTCCATCTCCAAAACAAGCAGACAAAGTTGGGGAATCAGGCCAGTGCCCAGGGCTCTGCCAGCATAGAGCAGAGCATGCTTTCATCCTTGTGTGGTGCCCCAGGATGACCCAGCAGCCCCCTGCTGCTGCCCCTCTGAACTTGGCTTCCTTTATCTCTTTCAGCACAGAGGGGTTCAGCTATCCGATTGTTCCCGCATTGCAGGAGCTCCATCAGGAAGGAGTGTGTTAGAAGATATAAAAAGCCCCTGAATTTGCAGCTAGGGTGGCCTTGCTGGGTGGCTCCAACATGGGGAGTGGACAAGGAAAGACATGGGTACAAGGTGGGGGAGGGGCTGGCAGGCACAGCTTGGGGCACAAAAGTTCTGGCCAGTTATGGAAGGTACACAGTCTTCAAAGAAGGGTGAGGAGAACAAGGGGATGATAAGAGGAAACCTTAGCGTTGGGCAAGACCAACTTGTATGGCCAACGAAAACCAAGCCCTTAGATAAAAATGGAATTAATTGTCTCCTGAAACCAGGAAGCATTTGTAGGACTGGATTGGATCTGTGTTCTCTCTCCCCTCAGTTCCTGATTCTCTGTGGGCCCTTGGTTCCAGGACACACTCTCTCCCAGGCCTGGTTCACTCCTCCCTACCTGGAGTTCCAGCAGAATTCCTGGGACACACTTTCACTGGACCAAACCACTCTAATCACGTGATCTCCTGGGGCCAGTGGCTCAGAGACTGATTGTCAGGCGCAGAGGACATTACTAGAAAGACGGATGGCAGGGGTCTTTAGGGAATGGGCGGGAGGGTAGAGCAGGAGGGAGCCCTGTGTCAGGGGTGCCCACTGCCTCATCAGCGTGACGGGGTCCTCCCTCCCTTGCAGGGATGAGCACGCCGGGCGCCTCTCCACAGCACCGGCCGGCCGGCGTGAGCCCGCTGTCCCTAAGCTCAGAGGCCAGGAGGCCACAGGCACAGCAGGTGTCGCCCAGCCTCTCCCCGCTGTCGCCCATCACTCAGGTTTGAGGGCTGGTGGGTGGGGGTCGCCCTTGCTTCTTCCAGGGCACAAAGCCCTGAAAACTTGGCCAGGTGTTAAAACATTCTCTTTGTTGTTAAATTCTCCAACCGGAGCTGCACCATGGATGGCCACTGGCTCGTCTGTCCCTGTGCTTGGATTCGATTCGTGGCCACTGTCTCTCCCTCCCGGCCCTGGTTCAGGTTCCCTAATAAACTGTTTAGAGAGGCGCTTTTTGTTTTTGTTTTCCAACTTGCCACATTCACTCTGCCTTTCGGCCATCTGTGTGTCTCAGGACCAGTCCATTTCATGTAGGTTGCCCGGCCTGCTGCCGACCGACTTTCCTTGCATGCCACCCATTTTGTTTCTCTGTCAAGTCAATAGTGGTATTCCCACTTTCCTTGAAAGTTTAGTTATTTGAGTATTTTTACTTTGTCGGTCTAGGCTCATACATGAGTTAGGAAGTGTTCCCTCTTCTATTTTTTTGAAGTCTGAGAAGCATATTAATTCTTCAGGTGTTTGGGGGAAATTGCCCGTGAAACTAACACAGTCATGGCTTATTTCAGTGGATGGTTTTTATTACTGATTCCATCTCCTTACATTGATACAGGTCTGTTCAGATTTTCTTTCTCCTCTTGGGTCAGTTTTGGTAGTTTGTGTGTTTCTAAAGTCTGACCTTTTTTTTAATGCCTACTGGATAATGGTTTTCATTGTTTGTCTACCATAACTAAGATGGCATGTGTCCCTGGAACTCTCCCATGCCCTCCGGAGCCCATTCTGGACCCCCCCCCCCTCTGTGTGTCTGTCTGCTTCCCAGGTGTTGTGTTCAGATGGGGAACCAACCAGAGTCTTGGTGGCTCCTGGTGGCACCCCATGGCTTCCTGATATATCCCATTTTCCTCAGGACAGGGACCCTGCCTACCCCCCAGGGGCCCTGTGTACAGACACCCAGCTTTGGAGACTTCCTTCCTGTTATTTCCCTCTTTCCAACTAAGAGGCCCAAGCAGGTCATTACGGAGTGGCACACCAGTGACTCTGGGCCGGGCTTTCGAGTGGTGGGAGGAGGTTCCTTCCTCCCACCCCCAGCCCCAGGACACCAGGAGGGTGCTGAATGCCTCAAGTCAGGGCCCTCCAACTCAGTGGGGTCCTCAAGCCGCAGCGAGTATGGAGGGTGGTACCTGCAGTTCTGCATGTGGCGGGGCGAAGGCAGGCTCGTTGGGTATCAGACGCACCCACTGGGTTAGCCATCAGGGCCCCACCCAGCTGCAGCCTAACCCTTCGTGCCCCCCACCCAAGTCCCTCCTTTCCCCACAGGCCGTGGCCATGGATGCCCTGTCTCTGGAGCAGCAGCTGCCCTACGCCTTCTTCACCCAGGCGGGCTCCCAGCAGCCGCCCCCGCAACCCCAGCCCCCACCACCACCACCACCCGCATCCCAGCAGCAGCCACCCCCACCATCCCCACAGGTGCCCGTGGGGCTTCCCCCGGGTGGCCCCCTGATGCCGAGTGCCAGCCTGACACGGGGACCCCAGCTACCCCCGCTTGTGGTCACGGTACCGCCCTCTCTCCCTCAGTCACCCCCAGAGAACCCAGGCCAGCCACAGATGGGGATCGACATCACCTCGGTAAGCTCAGGATGGGGTCCCGAAGGGCCCTACTGGGGGACTTCTGTAAGAGGACTTTGGGGACTGCGGAGGCCCCATTGGGTCCATTTGAGGGATGGTCAAGGCTTCATACTGCCTCAAATTCAAGGCCCACTTGGCCAGGGGTTGGTGCCGAAGCACACACTGCTTGGGATAGAACCTCAATGGGCGTTCCCTCAAACTCTCAGCCCTAGATTGTCACCCCTGCACAGATTGGGAGGCTGATGCCCAGGCAGACTTCACCCCTCCTGCCCCTGCTGCCCCTTCTGCCCCTTCTTCAGTCCTTTCTGTCTAGAAGGGCTTCCTTGGGGGCTAGGAGAGCGTAGGGCTGCCAGCCTCTGGGGAACAGTTTCTGGAGCACAGTTGAACGTGGCGGGTGAAGGATGAGGTGGAGGTTCACACAACACAGCCCCCCAGGCCAAGGCCTGGACTCCGGCCTCAGAGCACGCTGCCCAGGAGCAGGATCAGGTAGCAAGTGGTGGGTTTTGGTTTCCATACCCTCAGACCCTCCAGCTGCTCAGGCTGTCACCCAGATTGCCCTGGCAGGTAGTTACAGCTGCCTTTGGCCACATCCAGAGGAGTAAGGGCCCATGTTTAGGCACAGCAAGCCTCTGCTCTCAGCCTTTGGCTGCCAGCCCCAGGACAGTGCCATCAGAACATCCTGTGCTCTGCTGAGAGCAGTCCCCCCACCCCCCAGCTGGATGGGGCAGGGGTGCTGCAACAGGTAGAGGCCTGCCTTTCTGAGCTGCTGTGAGTCCTGGCAGGGCAGGCCCCAGGGGCCCCCTCAGATGTGAAGGCACTCAAGCCTTTTGTGTGATAGCAGCTCTGACTGGGGTGGGGTGCCTTCTTGGGGCACCCAGTTCTCTGGTGCCCTTCAACAGTGGGCAGAGCTGGTCTGATGCTAGTGCCACATAATGCCCGGGCTAGGTGCACAGACTGCCCCTTCCCGGGCCCTCCAGGGAAAGGGCATCCCTACAGATGGCTGGCTGCTATGGGAGACAGGCTCTCATAGCCACCCGTGAGCCACCCAGGTGGGAATGTCCCTGGTCACTTTCTAATTCTGGGAAGGCTGAGCTGGTCACTGCTGAGTGACCATGGAAGTGGGGGAGTGACCCCCACTTCCTCTCAAATGAGACCCCTGCCCCACACAACTTAGTGCCTATCCACAGTACTCAAAACAGGTGACTAAGGAAATGGGAGAGGCGGTGCACTTAGGAGCCTCAGTGCACAGGCTGAGGTCAGGCAGCAGACTCCAGAGAGACACTAAGGCTGGGCCGCCAGGGCCAGAGCAGGGCCAGAGCATGCCGAGTCCCATGCCCGTGGGGTCTGGTAAGAAACCCGAGCCCTGTACCCGCCAGGCAGAGAGACGATTGCCTCTCGGAGGTTTCAGGCAGGACTCTGAACCCTGTCCTGTGCCTTGGTGGCCTTCACAGTCACCTAGTTTTCCTTGGGGTGGGTGACATGTATAGTGTTTAGACTTAGAGGTGGGGGATGTGAGAGTAGGGAGCAGAAAACAGCACCCACCTGCCTCCCAGGGCCTTTTCTGCCCAGGTGTGTAAAGTGCACATGTGAGGCCATTTGCATACCTGTGTGGGTGGATGCATGCACCGTGGTCATGTGAGCATATGGCCAAGTGCAGCTGTGTGTGGTTTGTGTGTGCTTAGGTGGTGCACATGTGTTGCCACACGTTGGACATGTGTTATTTTGCACACATGTGGCTCCACATGAGGGATGCATGTGTACAGATGCACATGTATGTTTTCTGCACATGCACGTCGGTGGACGTGTATCTATTCAGGTGTGTGTGAGGGTGTATACAGGTGTATACAGCTGGGCCTTGTCCACTGTGTGTGTGTGTGTGTGTGCATATAGGGATGTGCCTTGTTGCACATGTGATATCACATGTGGGTGTACATGTGTGGCTTACATGTGCACACTGTGTGTGAGGAGTGTGCATGTGTGTAAGTTCAGACACTGCAGCCTGCTGACCCAAGGAAGATCCCCCTCACCTCTGACCATGCCCCTAACCTGGGGTGGATTACCTGCAGCCCTGGGCTCTGGAAGGACTCAGGAATCCTGCTTACCTGAGGAGTGGGGGCTTGGTGGGCTGGGGGGCGGGATGGTGGGCTCAGCAGGGAAGAGCGGCCCTGCCTGCGTCCTGACTCTCTGTCGCCGTAGGCCCCAGCTCTGCAGCAGTACCGCACGAGTGCTGGCTCCCCAGCCAACCAGTCTCCCACCTCTCCCGTCTCCAATCAAGGCTTCTCCCCTGGGAGCTCCCCGCAAGTAAGGGATGCGCCACCCCGCTCCATCGACTTTTATATTTCTTGTGCCACACGCCTCATCCATCCCATCTCGTCCATCCCATGGGGCAAGAGGAGAAGGTGCTGCCCCAGGACCCGGAGTCGCCAGCTCCTGTGCTGCTGTGCTCTGCCAGGCACTGGCCGGGCTGGGGGCTAGTGATGGCAGTGGGATGGGCTCGCCACCCTGTGGCTGGGATGCCCAGTGTGCCACTCAGCATCATCCCTGCTCCTGTCTGCTGCCACCAGGCCTCGAGCTGGAGGCTCCTGAGGTGGTGAGGAGCCCCCTGCTTTGGGGCAAACTGAGGTGAAGGCTGGCCCATGGTGAGGGCTCCAGCCTCTCAGCCCCTTTCTCTTCCTGCTGCCCCCTAAGAAGGTATGTCCCTCAGGTACCAGGCCTTTGGCCCAGGAAACTGCTTTGGGTGTCACTGGCCTTCCGGGATCCTTATTCCCACCCAAGATGGGCCACCGACAGGGCTTAACCATGTCCATCAGACAAGGGTTTATACTGTCATCAGCATGGTGAGACCTTGATCTCTGACACCCATGCGTGAGCACACTTACCCAGTTTCCTCAGACTTCCCTTCAGCCAGGCCTGGAGGTGCATTCCATCCAGAACCACCTGTCAGAAGAGTCCCTTTCCAGATACTCACTCTTGGAGCAGATCTTCCCTGGGACCCCACTGCCCCAGCCCAAAACCACCAAGCTGAGAAACCCCTCAGAGCCTCTGAATGCTCCAGGCCTGTGAGCTTTATCCTTAAACCAGGGTATAATGGTCAGTGGCGGAGCCATCCTTCCAGGCACGGCCCTCAGGAGTGATACTGGATGCCCTTGTCCCCGGGGACATGTCCCACTGTCCTTGTCTCCATAGGTCTTAGATGATGACTCCCAAGTTGGGGTCATCCCCAAGCCCTGCAGCTGTTCTCAGGAATCTCCCATGTCGCCTCTTCCACCACGGTCCTGCCAGCACATGGGCAACAGCCTCTCCCCAGAGGCAGGCTGGGACAGCGGCAGGGAGCTTTGTGGTCGGCTCAGCCAGATGTCTTCACATCGGTGCATCACTCTGGCGCTGGGCTTTTCGTAGTTCCTAAGAAGTGTGTGGTCTTGTTGTCCAGGCAGGCTGGACCTGTCCATGGTGGACAGTGCTGCCTGGGGCTATTCCCTTCTTGCTTGGAACGTGGGGCCAGGATTTAAGGGTTGAGCAGATTTCTCCAGAAGGGATTTCCCTGAACCTGGATGGGTTGGTACATCCTGAACAGAGTGTGTTGCTGTCTCAAGCCTGTGTACGTGTGTCTGTCCATCTATTTTGTGCTGGCTAGGGAGGGAGACAGCTCACTTAGGCTGTTGCTGTCTGACCCCAACTAGATGAGGGTTGGGGGCTCGCAGGGACTGCCTGTCAGGACTTTGACTGCTTATGGACCCCACAGGCCTCCCTGGCCCTGCTGCATGTCCCCCGGTTGTTCAGATTAGCCACCCCTCCCACCTGGCCTTGAATGGTCTTTTCTGCATCTGGGGCCTCTGGACAGCCAGGATGGGTTCTGTGTGCAATCTCACTCCTTCCTTTCTGAGCCTTTCCAGCAGACCCTCCTGGTAGCCTCACTAGAGAAATCTGAGCCTGGCATCTGCTACCTGTGCTGGGCCTCTCTGGGGCTAAGGCCATGGGGACGGGGTCAGGAGCCCCAGAACAGTCCTGCTGGGGCCCTTGGCTGAGCTCAGGGTGAAATTCACTCTCACTTGCCTCTGACCTCATGAGTGAAGCTAGCTACTGCCCTGCTCTACAGAATAAAGGTAGTGTCAGACATCCCTGGTCTGAAACTTCTGTCCCCAAGGTCTGCCCTGCCCACTGTTTACCCACTAATCGCCCAGGGGGGCTGGTGGGTCAGTAGTCAGCTCCTCAGAGATGGAGGTCCGAGACTGAAGTTTGATTGTTGGAGCATGCGGGGGCCTTCCTAGAACAGGGAACCCCAAGAAAGAAGGTCGTGGGTCTTGCACATGCACTGGGTTTCCTGGGGATAGCTGCAGAGGCCCCTATGAGCCATTGTGTCTCATAGAAGAAACAGGCCAGAGCACCCAGCCTCAGGGGACCACAGGGCTCAAGCCAGTGATGTGTCTCCCCAGGCTGGCGTCACTGGTGCAGCTTGCCAGAGCCCTCCTGTGACACATCACACATCCTCCAGGCTCCACCCTGCCATCTCCCCAGTAGGATAGCAGAAGCTGCCAGAGCTTCCAGCGTCTCCACCCCTGAGAGGGCCCCTAACCTGCCCCACTGGCCTTGGGTATGCAAATGTGGAGCCCCCCACCCCACTTCGGGCCCTGGGGCCTTGCAGACAGGCAGCTGCATGGGGACAGCAAACAGGCGACTTTCTTGTCTGTCCCCCTAACTTCTGTCCAACAGGAAAGTGAGGTTACTCACACTTGAACTATAAAGGAGATGGACTGGCACTCTGAAGGATGCTGGTACATGGCCCCCCCCAGGAGCAGGCGGTGGGATAAAAGTCATCATCCTGAGACTGGGGGATGCATACCTCTATCCTGAGTGTGTGGGTCCTTCCGGCGGCCCTGAGAGGGCCTCCCCTCCCCTCCTGGTCACAGGGCCCCCACCACAGCAGGCCTCTCTTCTGTCTGCAGCACTCCTCCACCCTGGGCGGCGTGTTTGGGGACTCGTACTATGAGCAGCAGCTGGCGGCCAGGCAGGCCAATGCTCTGTCCCATCAGGTGAGCGGGCGCTGCCGAAGACGCTCGCCAGGTCCCTGCCTGCCCTCAGGCTTGAGCTTTGCTTCTCGGCAACTCCCAGATAGCCAGGCTGTGGAAGCCCCACACCCTGGCAGGAGTGGCTTGCCTGGGCCTCTCCTGGCATCTGTGCCTGACCCACAGAACTGGGCTGAGGCAGGGGAAGGGTGGGTGGTGCACCCTGTAAGGACAGGTGGTGGCTGTCACAGTGGCACCTTACATGGGCTGTGTGCGTGGGTCTGCTGGGAGGTTGTGCTGGCTTAGCATGGAGGCTGGGGTCAGGGACCTGCGAGTGTGGGGGGTGGTGCTGCCTGGAGCTCATGACTCGCCCACCCACTCGTGCATTTGTCCATTCATCCAGCAAGCTCTGGGGTGGCCGTGTTTGGGCAGCTTTGGAGGGAGCAGGAGGGGCTCTTTAGGCAAAGGGGTACTGTCCAGCAGCCCCTGGGGCCCCTGAGCACCGGCGCCCCATGTCTCGGAGAGGAGGAGGGTCTGGCAGCTGTGGGCCGACAGCACCCAGGCGCCCCAGGGAGCTGGCAGGAGCAGGCTCAGCCGGCGGGTCTCAGGCCTGTGTGCTTACCTCTCAGCTGGAGCAGTTCAACATGCTGGAGAACGCCATCAGCTCCAGCAGCCTGTACAGCCCGGGCTCGACACTCAACTACTCACAGGCAGCCATGATGGGCCTCACGGGTAGCCACGGGAGCCTGCCGGACACACAGCCGCTTGGCTACCCGAGCCACAGCAGCATCCCCAACATCATCCTCACAGGTGAGGCACGGCGGTGTGTACTGGGAGGTGGGTTGTGGCTGCTGTGGGCCGCTCTCCACAACCCAAGCCTGGCAGCAGCAAATGGCCTCAGCCCAGGGAGGTGGAGCCCTGGCCCCAAAGGTGAGTGGTGATGGAGCTGAGGTAGGTGTCCCTGTCCTCTCTTCAGGCCCAAGGAGAACAGATACCTTCCCAATGCTGACTCTGCCCAGCTGCCTTACGCTTCAGGGGGCGTACACGGGACCCTGAACCAGGCGTACCATACCCGAGCACAAAGAGCAGGACAGAGCCGCTCCCTCACACAGCCTGGCACCCTCCTCTGGGTCCCTGGACCCAGTTAGCAGTATGCCGGGGACACAGGTGCTAGGGCTTGGGAACCTGCCTGTCAGGCTTATCCCATGCAGCCAGCAGACATGTGACAGCTCCACACACTGTGACAAATGCCCCTGAACAGCCCGGGCGGCCTGGCACCCATAGAGCCCACAGACTTTCTGGTGCCTCCTCCACCTCTTCTCTCCCAGAGATCCTGGGTTTTATAGAAGAAAGTGGTTTCCTGCTAACCCAGTTCTGTCATGGGATTTAAGGTGATACCTCCACCGCCCAGCTCCAGGAGAGAGGGGTTCATGCCAGGAGCTCCCCAAGCCCTGGGCTCTGAAGGAGTGGGCGGCGGTCTGGGGCAGCTGCTCCAGGGGTGGAGGCTGCCACATGAGGAGAGCCAGGCCCCCGTGACGGTCCCTACAACCACAGAGAACAGGGCAGGGCTTTCTGCCATTTCTCAGACTAGAAAGCCAAGGCTCGGCATCTCACTGCCAGTAGGGGAGCCAGTCAGGTTCGAACTTGAGCCTCAGGAGGAACGTCTAGCCCGTAGAGCTGCCTCGGCCTGCTGCTCAGTGGCAGAGTGAGCACCATGCAGAGCTGGAGCGGCCCTTGCTCCCAGCCCGTCACCTGCCATCTATCACAGTAGCCCCCATCCCAGGGCTCCCTGACCTCAGCCTGGCACTGACTTGTTCCCTGGGCCGGTGCCATTCTGTGCACTGTGGGAGACAGCAGCATCCGTCTGACGCCAGTAACACCACAACCCATCATGTCAACTGAAAATACCCCAGACATCTCCAAGGGCCCCTGCGGCACAGCCCCCTGGGTAGGTGGCCCCAGTGTGTCTCCCTTGATAGGGGTCACGGGGCTGCAGGAGTGGGGGCAGGGCACTCTGGCACATCTGAGCCTTTTGCCACTCACCCCCGCCCCACCATCTCCAGTGACAGGAGAGTCTCCTCCCAGCCTCTCTAAAGAACTGACCAGCTCATTGGCCGGGGTCGGTGATGTCAGTTTCGACTCGGACAACCATTTCCCCTTGGACGAACTCAAGATCGACCCCCTCACTCTGGATGGGCTGCACATGCTCAACGACCCTGACATGGTCCTGGCTGACCCGGCCACTGAGGACACCTTCCGGATGGATCGGCTGTGAGCAGCACGCTGCCCCGCCAGGCATTTGCCACCCCGCCGGTCAGTGGTCCCGACGGTGTCTCCCTGGGACGGCCGCTCCGTCCCTGCACACGGCCGCGCTTGTCATTCTGAGCTTGCGATGCTGCCAAGCGCCCCCGCCTGCCCACCCCGGTCGTCCGCCTCCTGCGAGGCTGCGCGTCGCCCCCGTGGACCCCCCTGCTCGCTGTTGCCCTTGCCTGGGCCAAAAGTTGTCCCCCGTGAGATGCAGAACGTGTGTGGGCAGGGGCGCGTGAGCCGTGCCGCCGCTGGCGGAGGTGCATTTTCCGACTGTTGTCAGCTGTCACTGCCTTCCTTGGTCCCAGCCCCCGCCCGTCCCCCCTTCCCCAGCCTGTGGTTAGGTGGAGAGCCAGCCCCACCCTGCCGAAGGGAGAAGGCGCCTGCGATAGGGGGTGGCACCAAGCAAAATAAACACTATTTTGACTGCTGTCTTTTATATTTCTGAGCACACACGTGATGTAGAATCCGCCCTGGAGGCAAGGGCGAGGGCGAGAAGGAGCATGCCGACAGCCACCCGGCCCCCGGCTGTACGCTAGCAGCCACCCCTTGCCACCAAAACACGTCCCTCACGGCCACTTTTCTGGGAACATCCCAGCCAGCTAAAGGCCTGCTGGGGTTGCACGTGAAGGCAGGGGTTCTTTTGGGGTCTCACAACCCTGTTGCCATTCCCTTCTCTGTACTGTGTCCCCTTACTGTTATTTAAGGAATGGGGGTGGGGAGGGTGGCCAGGGCTTTTTGTTTTTTTATGTTTGTTCCTTTTGGTTTGTATTGACATTTTGGTTGTAGACAAGTACCTGAATCCTTCAAGCCAATACTTGCCTGAGAGCATGTTTTTATTCTGGAAATCCTATGTTATATATTTTTTAAGCTCACTGGAAGCCGTTTGCTACCCATCGGGTCTGAGCCGCGAATCCAGCCTTCTGAGTTTTGCTCCAAGTTATCTTAAAACAGAAGGGCCTGCGGGGTGGGCTAGGCTGGAACAGACAGAAGGTGGAGTGGCCAGAGATACCGCCTCTCCAGCCACATAACAGCGTCCAGAGAGGAGCCACGGCTTTTATTAAGGGTCTTGGCAAGACCTGACTCTCCCTGGCCCTCCTGACTGTGACCTCCAGCCTTCAGGGTATGGCCTCTCTGTCCTGTGGCACCCCAGAGGCAAGGCTGCCCCATCATGCCTGCCCCAAGAACCGGGGTTTGTCTTCTTCATCACCCCTCCTTTGGCTCCTCCTGGCAGGACTGATATGAGGGAAAGAGCAACCTGCGTTTTTTCATGGCGGGTTTCCAGGTGCTTTTCACCCCCAGGAGGCCTAGGTGACTGTTGTCTGCCATCACAGGGGCCATCGCTGTGCCCCCAGGCCCTGCAGGGCAGCTTCGTTTTCTGCCGGCTGCTTTGGAATAGGAATCTCCGTTTCAACCTGCCTGCCGGGCGGGCTGGCACCTGCGCTTGGTGCATTTCTCCGTGGCCTCTCAGTCCGCCTCTGCTGGGGTCTTGGGAGCTGCGCCTCTGTCCGGGAGTCATGTTTGGTCCCAAGACCATCCCTGTTGAAGTTTGGCCAGGCTGTTATTAGCACATGGCCAGGTGGCCACCCATATGAGAAGACCCCTCCTCAGTCCCTTGGCCCCCCCCATTGCCGTCTGGGCTGGGGGACACCATGTTGGTCCGTCCAGGTTGAGGGCCCATTTTCTTACCTGGCAGGGACCAGGGGCAAAGAGTGAGGACTTTTTTTTTTTTTTTTAAAGAAAACTACATGTACATAGAAGAGTTTGATTACCATTAGACTTGTATGTAGAACTTTTTTTAAAAAATGGCCTTAATAAAATTATAAGCAACCTTCCTGGATGCAAACTTTCAAGCAGGCATTGGGAACTCGAGTGAGAGCCTGGTCAGCCCACTCTTCCCAGCCTTCCCCTCCACCCCTGCCAGGTCTACATGCAGACAGGCAGGGGACTGGCTTTTCCTTCTCCAGGAGCTCCGTGACATTGCATTAACATGGCAGTCTATCAGTAGGTACAGAGATTTCCCAGGGAGGGGTCTAGCTGGGAGCTAACAGCTTGGCATCCCGGTACCCCAAAGGGGCCCCTCCCCTCCTGACCCTGGGCAGGTCTCTGGGGTCTGCAACAGGGAATTTTGTTTTTTGTTTTTGTTTTTGTTTTCTTAAATATCACTTCTCTACTAAACATTTTTGAATTGCCAAGACTTTCTGGAACAAGACAGCCTAAGGGACTCGGCCCTTTGACTTGTGTGTGAAATACTGTGATTTCGGGCGAGCTGTGCTGTGGGGGCGGCTGGGCCCGAGTCGTGTATATATAGACCCGCCGCCTGTGTTCTAGCTCGCTCGCTTGCTTGCTCGCTTGGGTAGGCCTGGATACCTGGCCCACATGAGGTCAGGGGTGGCCAGGCTGTCCCCACCCCCAGTCTCCAGTGGGAGTGCTTCTGGCTTTGGCTGGGAACCCTCATATGTGCAAATCTTTCCTCAGAGAGTGTAAGCTGCCCAGCTGTTCCCTGCTACCTGAGTTTACCTCTGTCCTTCTAGTCCCGAGGGCAATGAGTATGTTCTGCCTCAAAGGCTTGAGGACTGAGAATGGGGCCTGGGGCTAGTTCTTCTCCCAGAGGCTAGTTCTTCTCCTCGTCCTCTGGAAAGGAGGGTTTGTGCCCCTGAACACCCCCCACACACAGCTTTCAGAGTTGATGTGGGAAGAAGGGGGCTGTCCAGCTGGACACCCAGGCCAACCTCCATTCTTACAGTGCTTCTTGGGGCATTCTGTGGGCCCTTCTTGCTCTCTGTGTTCTCAGTTCCCCACCAACACTTTGAGGCAGGTGACCCTGACACCCTCACTGGAAGGAGTGGGAACAGGTCAACCCTTCAGTAAAAGTTGGGGTCTTGCAGCCAGCAGCATCCAGAGCATCCCCTTTGTGGGGACAGTTCATAGCATTAGGGGCTTTTAGTGTGGTTTTTCAGCCCCTACCCCCATTGTGGCTCACAGGGCCTTTCTAGGACCATACCTGAGGGTGAGGGCAGGCTGGCGTGTCCATGTCCTTTCCCCTGACACTACCCAGAGGTCTCCTGCTAGCCCAGCAGGTGTGCTTGAGCCAGCCCCCCTTGGATGCTGGCATCCGTGGCAGCCTCTGCTTGCATCTAATTGTGGATTTTCCTGCCTGGGAAGGAGGTTTCTGATGTTGGCCTGATTTCTTCAGGCAGTCAAGTGCCTGGGAAGACACTGAGCCAGGGATCCCATCTTGTGGCCCATGTGTTATAGAGGGCAGGGGAGGAGGATGGCTTTTGTCACACTCCAAGACCTTTGTGTGGCGGGCAAGAGACCCCAAGTCCATCTGGCCTGCCAGCGATGTGTGCTGGGTTTGGGGACTGTATGCCAGGGACTGGCTGTTTGTGATTGGGTAGATGGGAGTAGGCATGAGGCCTTTTTGGGACTGGGGATAGGAAAGCACTTCCCTTCCCCAGACCTGCCCATTTCCAACCTTGAGCTGGTTTAGAGTCAAACATCCATCTACCCTGCACTCTCAACTGAATTCTGAGTTTCTGCATTTCCAAAGAAGGTCTGGTGGTATTGGGGGGACTCTGCCAAGGGCCCTAAACACCCCCCCCAGACAAATGAACAACACCTGTCACCCTCCCTCAGTTTTGTGGGAGTCATAATCAGAGGCCTTGGGCAGGGACAGTGGAATGTAAGCCACAAGGTCAAGGGTATTAGATCCCCTGCAAGGCCACCAGACCCTTCTCTGTGTGGCCTGGCTCACAGTGGGAAGTCTGGTCTGGGTGAGTAGACAGCTGGTCTGTTTCTTCTACTGTTCATTTTGGAACCTTGTGGCCTGGGCCTCAGTTTCCTTCTTGTCATTGGCTCATATCTGCAGGTTTTGGGGCCCCAGGATCTTCCCAGGAAGGGTGGCAGGGACCAGATGTCAGGGTGATGCTGGCTTCAGATAGCTCCCTCCGCTTGCTGCTCTCCTGGTGAGCCAAATACCCTGTCCAGAGGAGCCAGGGAACATGTGTCATGTGTGGGTGGAGAGTTGCCCCCTTCTCACAGGGTTCGGCTTCTGGAATTTTGGGGCAGTTATTACCCAGCCCAGCTTATCACTCTGACCTCTTGTCCACTGAGGACAAGGGGCCACAGCTGTGGCTTTCATCATCAGACCCTGGGAGGGGACGTAGGGAGGTCACTGGCCCCGCCGTGTTCTGCCCCCAACCCAAGGAAACTGTCCCTGAGGGACTTGGCGGCACCACTGATATATGCAAACCCACCGGTCCAAGCCCTGCCCTGTCCTGCCTGTGTCCCTGTCCCCAGGCTGGCTCTGCCCCCCCGCCCCAGCATGTATACTGCTGTGGATGTCCCGTGGACCGTTCGTGTGGCGCCCTCGGCGGGCGGGGGCGGGCAGCTCAGGGCCCTCTCGGCCGGCCCCTGCCCATCCTCTCTGACGTGGACGCTTTTGTCTTTGTACCTTTGCATCCTTTGTAATGAAACGTAATAAAAAAATCCAATGTTTTTGTCTCTGTCTCCTACTCCCTTTTTCCCCCCTACCAACTGGGAGGAAGCATGGGTTTCATGAGGGCACCCGGAGGGAGCTATGTACACTTACAGATTGCCCCCTACAAGCCCCTAACACACAAAGAACTGGCAACCAGATGTGGTACCCTCAGGCAGCTGTTCAGGCGTGGAGGGAGAGGGACCTGCCCTAGCCTCACCTGTCTGTCTGCCCAAGCTCCAGGAGTGTAGGTGTGCAGGCCCCTGACCATGGCTGGGTAGGATATAACAGCAGATATGGATCTCCCAAATCTGGCTAAGCCGCACTGTGCCCAGCCTGCCAAGAGTGGGGACAGTCAGTGCAGGGCCTCACTTTCTGAGGCCTGGTTTTGAGGTATTGGGCCTGCCCCTCTTCTCCCAGAAGCCTGATCTCCCATGATCTCCCCAGAGCAGGGATCACAGCCGGTACCCCACCAAACGTACTTTATTTCATTCTGTCTGAACCCCTGCCTGCCCCCAAGATTGGCTGCCTTTCCAGGCTGGTGCAGAATCCTCAGCCAGTGTCCGGTGGTCCTCTCACATTTCTAGGCCCGCAGCCGCTGCTGGGTCTCATAGTCCTCAGGGATAGTGTCTGTGGAAAGAGGGAGGTTAGTGAGGGATATGGGACAATGAGTGGAGCAAGCTGACATGAGGGAGGAAATGAGGTGGGAGAGGGGGCAGGACTAGGCCCTGGTAAGTCGGGGCAGGGCGCCTGGGTGAGGGTGTGGTGTGTCTCCCTACCCCTCGACAGTGTTCCCCCTTACCATTGCAGCGGTAGCGCAGGTTGGCCCAGATAATATTCTCCTGTGAGAAACAGAAGACCCCTAGGCGGCCACCCCGCATGGTTGTATCCAGGACCACATTGCTGTCAGCCACCAACTCAGGGCCCTCATAGAACCGCACCCTGTAGGAAGGCAGATAGTGAGGTGAGCCCCAGGCCAGACACTCAGAGCCAGAGTCCACCCTGCTCTCTGGGAGTGGTAGCCACTTGTCCTTTTGCTGGGCCACTCAGAGCAGAGGGGTGCTCCTAGGCAGAGCCTCAGTCACCCTGTGTGAGAGTGGGCATCTAGAGTGTTGCACGCAGCAGTGCTGAGCAGAGCTTCTGACATCCTGCAGTGCAGAGTACAGAGCAGAGACAGTAGGTGAGACCTTAACCTTGTAGCTAAAGACCTGCTGTATGCTGGAAGACATGGATCTTTTTTCTAAGTGCCTTTGTCTTTCCCACTCTACAGATAGGGTGGCCCAGGCCCCCAAACCAGGTTGCCCGTCCCCTGGTGCAGGGATAGGGGTTCCCCACCTGATGTAGCCCACTTGGGGCCTGTGCTGCAGGAACCAGCGGTAGGATGTCTTGTCCTTCCAGCCCACATTGCGGGGGTCCTTCCACAGCAATCGAACCTGTGATGATGTGTCCCCTGTGTGCCACAGAGCATTCCGAAGCTGCTCCCCAGGGCCTGTGGAGGACTTCACGGCCTGTCACATCCAGGGATGAGAAAGGTGTCAGACATCACATAGGCCACCAGAGCTCAAAAGACTTGGCAGGACAGGCAGGGAGCTGCAGGTCATGGAGAGTGTCACGAAGCCCTCAGGAACCCAGATGGGAGTCTGGGGAAGCCTTTTATGGACTCCATGGAGGTCTGCAGTTGGGTTTTGTGTGTGTATGTGGGGAGGGGAATATGGTACTCATGAAAGTTTTTGGAAGTTCATGGGTGTGTCTGCAGTCTGAAGGGCTAGAAAGGTGTTGGAGGGGGGATTTAGTAATCTAGACACAGTTTGGGGATATCTGGGATAAAATGAGTCCAGAGGATTTGAGGAATTTTCAGTGATATACTGTGTTCTACAGGGTCTGCAGGAAGGTCTGGAGCCTAAGAGAAAGTTTAGAGCTCTGAGAAATTTTTGGGACTCAGAGGAAGATTGAGTGACTTTGGGAGACTGTTTGAGGACCTGTGGGACCAGGTGGATTTGGGGCCAGGGAAGTCCAGGGGAGGATTAATGGTGGGTGGTCCACAGCATGATGCTGAGGAACTGGGGACTGAAAGCTGTTTGGTCCTAGGAAGAGACTGGAGCCTCTTAGAGGGCCCAGGGAAAGAGGTAGGGCCCGAACACCTTGAGCTGGATGCCAGGCTCAGCCACTGCGCGGAAGGGATTAGCCTGCCAGTAGGTTTGCTCCATCTGCTTCCACATGACCACGTAGAAGCTGGAACTGTCTTGGTAGCCAAAGATGAAGCCGGCGTAATCATCATCCGTGACCGTGTTCACATGGAATGTGCCTTCGAAATCCACGCCATTGAAGGCCGTGTAACCTAGGGGAGAAAGATGCTAGCCTCTGCCCGATGGGGCCCTGGCTCGCACCTGGACCTTTATATCCAGAGTCCATGACCACTGGGTCCCAGATCTGTTCCTGCCTCATTCCCAACATGAGGCCAGGTACGGCTACACCCCTGAGTCCCCAGTGCCTTGAACCCTCCCTCAAGAGTCAAGAACGACTCAGCCTCTAAGCCCGTAGACTTTCTGAGTCCAAGCCCACCGCGGTCCCGCCCCTGGGTTGTCCATCCTACAAGCCACCCCTCACAAAGCCCTGCCCTTTCCTGTGTCTCACCCACAGCCAGACCAGGATCGCTGTTCATCGTCTGCACAATCTCCATCCCCTGATGGAGTCAAAGGAAAAATGGCCTCAGAACGGCTGTGGGTGTCCTCGACTCTTCATCCCCCACTTAGAGGGATCTTGGTCTCATCCCACCTCCCACATGAGTCCCGCCTTCACCTGGTTGAGTACCACCCAGTTGGGGTCTATCTGCGCATCGCCCTCAGGGTCCAGCACAACAGTCTGGAAGGCCCGAAAGTCAGTTAGAGTGACTTCAGCATTCTCCGGACACACATCAATCTTGTCCACCACCTTGTCTGCATCAAAGTCACCCTGGCACGCATCACCTACACCGTCCCCTGAGGAAAAGTGGGCGATTGCCTGCGGTGAGGTCCGCACTAGGTCCTACCCTGGGCCCAGCCCTGCCCACCTACCACTGGCCCTGTCTCCTTTGTAGGACCCGCCCCAAACATACTGTCTGAGTCCTCCTGGTTTGGATTGGGCACCACACGGCAATTGTCCCGACTGTCTGGAACCCTGTCGTTGTCATCATCATCATCGCAGGCATCGCCCTGCCCATCATGGTCTGAATCCTGCTGGGCACTGTTGGGCACTGTGGGGCAGTTGTCCCTCGAGTCCTGGTGCCCATCTCCATCCCTGGAGTGGATGAAGGGGATAATGAGATTCCCAGGGCATGAGGGTGGCCTACTGGGGTCTACAACCCACCCCAGGTAGTCTCCTTACTGATCTTGATCGCTGTCACAAGCATCTCCCACAAAGTCGTGGTCCACATCCCTCTGGGGGGTGGGAATGGCAATTCAGGGTCCATGATCAGGGCAGAGAAACTCAAAGGCCTTCCACCCACCCACTTACCCAAGGAATGCCCCCTAAGGCTGCTTAGACCAAACCAGAGTCCTGTAATCCTGCCTGGGACTCATCCCATGGTCTGGCCCCAGATGTCTGACTTGCCCTCACCTGGTCTGGATTGCTCTTCTGGGGACAGTTGTCACAGGCATCCCCTACACCATCACCATCACTGTCTTTCTGGTCTGAGTTTGGCACCCTGGGGCAGTTGTCAGCTACATTTCGGATCCCTTTGGGAAGCAAGGGTGAACAAGACCCACAGTGGAAGTGGGACCAGACTGACTTTTAGGGGAGGTCCTGAGTCCACCCCCTCCCCTGGCTCTCAGCAGCTACAAAGATAAACCAAATACTTGGAGCAGCAACCCAGCTTCTTGAGATTACAGAAATGGATAGCCTGCCAGGGGGACTGGCCCTCAACTAGCCCTCCCCTTGCCCTGGGACTGCACCACCCTGAAGGCCCTATGCCCTAGTACCACCCTGGCTCAGACTCATGTCTCTGCTCTTCCTTCTTGTGGCATTTACCACAGAGACCACCTGCTTTCCTCCAACTATCCCTGCCTATTCACCTCCATGTGGGGTCGCAGCTTGCAATTTCCTACCTGCCCATGTATAATCCATGGTCCCAACGACTCCTGAGCTCACCCCTTCTGACTTTCACCCTGTTGCAGCCCCTTCATTCCCCACTAGGAGCCTGGACCCCTTCCCATCCCACCCCTCGTGTACCCACCTTGCCCTCCTTTACCTAACCGCCTTTCCCTCTCCCCTTTCCCTCTCACGATCGCCGTCGATGTCATCGTCACAGGCGTCGCCTCGGCCATCCCGATCAGTGTCCTTCTGGTCATCGTTCTTCTGAGACCGGCAGTTGTCACAGGCATCTCCCCACTTGTCGCCATCCGAATTGCGCTGGTCTGGGTTCCGCACCAGCGGGCAGTTGTCCTAGGAGCAGGCCAGGTGGGGCAAAGGTCACCCCCCCAAACCAGAACATCCCCAAGTTCCCACCTTTCACTTCTCCAGCCTCGGGGGTCGCGCCCCTCACTCAGGCCACATCCAGCAGTTGAGCGGAAGCACCCCAGTTGGCCGCACCTCCTCGTTGAGGATCCCGTCTCCGTCGGCATCCGGGTCGCAGGCGTCTCCGATGCCATCACGATCCACGTCCTCCTGCCCTGAGTTGGGCACCGTCATGCAGTTGTCCTAGGGGGCAGGGCGGGCGTGAGGTGTCTCGCGGGAAGCCCCGCCCCCGCTCGTGCTGGCCCGCCCACATCGCGCTCGGACCCCGCCCGACTTCACTATAGAGCCCCTCGCCCCAGCCTGACTCCCCGTTTCTCGCACCAGACCCGCCCAATACGAGTTGGACCACGCCCCCTCCGCAAGCGCCGCCCACGTCGCCCCGCACCCTCTCCGGTCCCAGCCAATTCGGTCCCGCCCACCTTTCGGCACTGGCGCTCCGAGCAGCGCAGCTTCTCGTCCGGGAACCCGTCCAAATCCGTGTCGCGGCCGCAGAGGAGCCCATTGCCCGCCCAGCCGACTGCACACTGTTGGTAGGAAAAGAGTGGGTATTCCGGCGCTGTCGTGTCGGGCGACCCCTTCCCTCGCTCCCTCCATGTCCACCCACACTGACCACGCACGACCGAGAGCCATCTCGCTCGAGGACGCAGTCGGCTTTCTCGTGACACGGACTGGGTGTGCCGTCGGGGCAGGAGCGCTGTGCTCGCCTATGGCAGCCGGATGTCTGATCGCCCACGAAACCGGGCTGGCACGGGCCGCACTGGAAGGAGCCCTGCGCCGAGGCCGCACGCTTTCAGCCTTGACCGTTTGCCAGTTTGAGCCTCCTGCCCACACCTCCTTCCCACTCTCCGCGCTCTTCCCTCTCCGATCCGTTCTTACCCGGGTATTCACGCACATAGAGTTGGGGACGCAGTTGTGCTGTCCGGTCTCACATTCGTTAATATCCGTACAGACCTAGGGAGTCGGGAACTCAGAGGTCACCCCCCCACTCACTCACATTCAAACACCTGTGCACCTCGCTTCCAGCTCAAGTCTTCTCCGCCTGCTCCCTTTCCCCTCCACCCACTCCAACCCCATCATCTCTGACAAGGACTCTTTCTCCATCCCATCCTCTCCCGCCTGAACTAGTCGGAGAGAGACTGGAGGACTCCCTTACTGAACAAGCATCTCCAAGGCCCTCCCCCTCTCCAAGGCCCTCACCTGTTTGTTGGCCTTGGCAAAGGCCAGTCCTACGCCCGTGTGGGTGGGCCCACTGTACCCTGGCGGGCAAGCCTCGCAGCGGAAGCCAGGACTGGTGTTGATGCAGCGGACACGAGGGAAGCAGGGGTGGGCGTTGCACTAGGAGGAAGGATCCCGGAGAGTGAGAGGACCGCGGAGTCGGGTTTCGCCAGAGGCAGCCTTAGGGGTTTTCTTGGGCCATCAGCCAGCACTTGGTGAGGCTGTGCCATGTGGGGTGGAAGCCTTCATTCCAGGGGTCAGTGGTGACTTTGTCTTGAGGGGGACAGGGGCATGACCAGGTGGAAAGAGGGGTATGCCTGGAGGGATCTGTTCGTGGAACAGGGTGGTGCTGGATGCTCATGGGCAGGCAGAGGAATTATGAAGGTGGGCATCACCAGAGGAGGGGGGAAGTGGTCTCCTGCGCGTGCATACCCGGCGACGGGGGGCTTGTCGGGACAGGCACCCCGCGGTGGTGGAAGGGTTGTTGGGACTGGTGATCCTCGCAGGTGAGGGGAATCTCTGGGGTGAACCACTCTCAGCGGTAGGAGAGTCGTCGGGGCTGGTGGCAGTGGTAATGGAGGGGGTGGGTGGGTCAGGTGCTCTTGACCGTAAGGATGGGTGATGGGGTAAGTGCACCCCCGCCGTGGGGAGGTCGTCTGGACGTGCGCTCCCGGTGGTGAGGGGGTCCTCCGGGAAAGCACCCACAGCGGAGGAGGAGGTCGTGAGGGAAGTGGGAAGTGTGGGGACAAGCGTTGAGGATTGCCGGGGCGGGTCGCACCTCGTTGACGTCCGCGCAGTGCGAGCCGTTGCCGGTGAAGCCCGCGGGGCAGGGGCCGCAGCGCGCGCCGCTTGTCGTCTCGGTGCAGGCCACTCCGGGGAAGCAGGAACCGGGTACGCACTGGGGCAGCGGCCGCACGCTCACACCCGGGGTGCGAGCTGGCTGCATCCCTTGGGGTCCGGGGTGGGGCAGTGGGGGGGGAGGAGAACGAAGAGGGCCTGATCAGGGCCACGCCCGGAGGCGGAGCCCAGGGCGACCCAGTCTCGGTCCTAGGACCCCGCCTGGGGGCGTGGCTGGCGCCGGGCCAGGTCCCGCGCGCTCGGAGACCCCTCTCTCTATCGCGCACTTCGCGCGTGTTTCTGCAGTCAATGGATCTCTGTGCCTGTTGATTTTCCGCTTCTCTTTCTACTTGCCGGCATCGCCCACACGGCCCCGCGTTCTTTCTGTGTGTCCTTCCACCCTGTCGTCCCTTTCCCCTCCCAGTTCGTCTTTTCTCCTTTCCTCGTCCAATCTCTTCGCCTCTGTCAGTGTCCGTCCGTCTTGCCTCGTCTCTTGTCCCCGCTCTGGCTCCCCATCTTTTCCCGCCCGCACTCCCTCTGCCGCCGCGGCCGCGCTCACCGCACGCGTCACACTCCATCACCGTGTTTTTCAGGAACGTGATCTCCTTGACCTGCGGCGCAGAAGCCAGATGTGGTCAGTGGGCTCCATCGCTCTCCGCCTCCCTCTATTTCCACTTCACCAACTCTCTACCCTCCCAGTCCCTTTCTTCCTTCTCCAGAGACACTTATATCCCCAAAGACTTCCTTATTCCCCCCCCCTCGGAATTCCCTATGCCTAGGGCCCGTTTTCTAGAGCCCCCATTTTTTCTCCTCCGCCGCCGTTACCTTTTCCACCAGCCCCGACCCGCCCTCCCCGCCCCCACGTACCAGGACTCCCTCCTCACTCTCCCGTACCTCCTGACCCCTCCCTTCAGTCAGGCCTCTCTCCCCGCTCTCCGCACCCCCCGCCCCTACGCCCATCCCTCACCTGCTGCCGCAGCAGCTCCCGCACGTCCTGCAGCGCGGCGTTTGTTTCCTGCAGTTCGCGCAGCATCTGCGGGGCTATATCTGCACCTGTGTCGACAGGGGGCGCTGACGGGGCGTCCGGAACGGAGGACCCCATCACCATTCCCAGACGCTGGGTCAGGGACTCCCGACACCCACCCCATTCCTCGGGCCTCTGGCCCCCCGCACTCCCCAGTCAAAATCCCCCGAGTCCCCAGGACCCACAGGCCTCCTGTGGGTCTTCCTGTCTGGTTGCGGGTGTGTGGAGGGGGGGAGGGGGAGGGGGAGGACTGGGGTGGGGCAAGGCATGGGGGAGAGTGCGTCTCACCTAGCGGGAGCTGGCCCTGGCCTGACGCACTGAGCGCGGCCAGTGTGAACAAGAGAACGCGGGCGACGGCGTGAACCATGGTGGCAGCGCGGAGCTGGACGCTGCTAGCTCTCTGACGCCCACGAGGCCCGTGAGGCCTATTTATCCCAGCGGTGCTGCCGGCTCTGGCTCCGAGGACGGCCCACCGCGGCCCTGCCCAGCGTCCAGCCGCAAGGTAAACAGACTGTTCTGGCCTCTGTGTTCAAGGCCCCGCCCACGCTGCTGAACCGGGACCCTGTGGGGAAACTGAGTCACGGGAGCCTGTTCAGAGGTGGATGGGGGCAGAAAGTTAAGCCAGAAAGTCCAACCCTCTCATTCACTTATTTATTGACAGCCTGCTCTATGTTACCCGGGGGTAAAGCTGGGAAGGAGCCGATCCCCAACCCCCGACGGACTCCCTCAGCGCTCACTCACAGTGGCTATAGGTTAGGACCCATCTCCAACCCTTGCCTTGTCTTAGGGCAGGGTGACTGGCCTCCACTCCCTCCTCACTTGCTTCAAAACCCAACAAATGATTTCTTTGTGCTTTGGGTCCCACCCTCCCCCAACCCCCTGCACAGTGGAGGGAATAGCTATGACAGTGGTGATACAAGAAAATGAGTGGTCAGGTGGCAGCAGGAACCCTCCATCTCCCTGCTCATGCCCCTGCCCCCCAGCCCAGTGTTGCGAGTGACTCCCTCTTTCTGGTCTTCCCTCCTGGTGGGTCTCTAGCTGGTAGGGTGGGCCCCCCTGGGTGGGAACGCCCTCAGTTTCTCAATCCAAACAGTGGGCTGTGATTGTGTGCATCTCCAGGTGAGGAAGTTGAAGACTCCCAGCTGGAGAGTGTGGGTTTTCTGTTTGTAGGGCCATACTTTCTGAGCTCCTCCGGCTGCTGTGGGACAGTTTGTAATACAGTACAATAAAAGTAAGTGAAAATTATTGCTTATGCAAAAATTGTCCCTTTCAGCCCAGTTGTCCTCTTGAGTTGACATTCTGGAGTTAATCTTTTCCAGCCCATGCTCTGTGCTCAAAGGTCCTGTTCTATAGATGGGAAAACTGAAGCTCAGACTGGGGGCTTGACTGACCTAAGGCCACTGTGAAGAGCCAGGGTACAGTCATTACATAGTCTGTTCTGGGAAGCTGCAGAAAAGTCACCAAGGAAAGAGTGAAACCCAAAGGAAAAGGAGAACTCAGATCAGTACAGGGAAAGGTAAGGACAGCTCTGTCAAAAGAAAGTGTGTGGAACTTGGAGAGGGGGAAATTTCAGGCACATTCTTTTATGCCACAAAAGTACACAGAGCACTTGCTCATGTACAATGCAGGGTCCTGGGGGCACAGAGTGAACAAGTCAGTCTGGTCCCTCATAGAGAGCCCAGTGAGTGGGGAGGCAGCTACAAAATAACCCAGAGGGGGCAGGACTGTGATGGAGCACACAGGCAGTAGAAGGAGCTCTAAAGATGTGTCTGACCCAGGCTGGGTGGGGGAAGTGTGGGAGGGCTGCCAGAGGAGGGAACACCAAGCTGGGACCAGTAAAATTAGGAGCCAAGCAAAGAAATGGGGCATTTCAGATACAGGAACAGTGTGTGCAAAGGCCCTGGGGCAGAAATATGTCTGGTTGTCTGCATGGGATGATTTCAGGGTGCAGAGACCTTGGGCTCCCAATGAGCCCAAAGGTACAGGGCTTGGATGTCTTCTGAAGGCAATGGGAAGTCATGGAAGGTGAATGAGGAGGGGTGGGCCTCAGGAGAGATTCGGTGGGAACTGCCAGCTCCAGCCTGGGCATTTCTAATGAAGCCCATAACCTGCCTGTAGCCGACCCATGAGCTCACCTCCTGTTTTCCTTGGCATCCAGCATACCTGGGGCCTACTCCAGGTTGGTGCTGAAATTCTTGGGAAAACCACAGCTCCAGTAGGACCTGGAGCAAAGAGAACACATGGAAGACAGGTCCCTGCCCTTGGACACAGGGCTGTGACTTGGACCATCATGGCCATGTTCATGGCTGGGCCATGGGAAAATACGGGAAGGAAGAGGGCCTAGCAAAGACAGAGACCCCCATTTGCAGATCAGATAATAGAAGTCTTGAGAAGGGCAACCCCCCACCCCCGCCTCCAACTCTGAAATCCTCCTTCCAAGTAGTGGCTTCCTTCAATGCTCACCACATCACAGAATAACACAGGCGATGGCCTTCCTGATCCACTTATCCTGGATACCTCTACTTTCCTCTAACTTCCAAGGTCTGGCTTTAACATTCCCCTCCTCTAGGAAGTCCTCCCTTTCCTCCCTGGTTGGTGCCTGTATGATCATCCCCTAGGGCCCTTGTAGAGTGTTCCTGGCAGAGAAAGTTGAGATGACCTGAACCCCGGCATTGGGAGTGTCTGTGTTTTGCTCTGTTTCTCCCAGCTTGGGTTGTCCTCAGATGCCTGGGCTGATGCAAAGAGGGAAGGCTGAAGGGTTTGGGGAGACTGGCGGGTAAGGGGAGCTGTGGAACATGTTTCCCAGTCACTGGCTGCCAGACTCCCATCGAAGTGGGTGCTGAAAACACAAACTTTGTACCTACTATGAGAGGCCACAGATGTTGCTGCTGCTGCTCTGGGTAAAGAACGGGAGGGTGACGTGTGAGCAAATCAGTGATGGAAACCACAGGCAAGGTCTCCCCATGACGCAGGGTGTCTTGACTCATTGTTATTACTCCTGAGAATTAATATATCTTCACTAATATTAATAATAGTAACTTTAAATTAATGTAACATCATTAATAACAGTAATCACATAATAATAGTAATTCCCCCACCATTATACTTTAGACAGCAAGGAGGACAAACTGGACCTCCACCCCCACCCCCAGCCAGGCCCAGCCTTGCTTTGTAGCCTAGGGCTCAATCTCTCTGTACCTCCATTTCCAACCCCCGTCAAATGGGGACACGGGGTAGGGGGAAAACTGTTGAAAGGATAATTTTCGATGGGGTTACATGAGCTAGCCCATGCTCAGTGTCTGCCTCCAAAGTCAGCCTCCTTGTAAGATGGAACATCCATGTTGTCAACATATACCTCAAATCTCTCTTATTTGCATTTTCCTCAGAGGAGATGCATAGCTTGGATTAGATTCGGTTGGAATAGATTAGAACTGGGAAAGCCAGGACCCTCTAACTCCTAACTCTTTTCCAGCCCTTCTCTGCCCTTGACCACATAATCCAGATGAGGGATGCTCGCCCAAGCCCTGAGTTCGTGACACTCCACTCCCTAGGCCCTCCTGGCCAGAGCTGGAGCTGTTTCCCCCTCTCCACTGCACCAGGCCCAGCAGCCCAGGAGCCTCGCCAGACTGGACAGAGGGGCTGGTAACTGCATGATGGGCCCCAAGCCCATTCCTGGCAGAGCCCCACCAGGCCAGGAGACATGTGGGCGCCCCCAGCCCACTCGGCCGCCTCCCTCGTGAATCCAGAGGGAAAGTATGTCGGGAAGGCAGCCGCCCTGCCCTGGGCGGGCCCAGCCACAGGCCCAGGGTCTGGGGAATTCATCAAGGCAGCCAGGGAGGCCACTTGGCCCCTGCTGAATCCACAGCTGAGGAGCCTGACCAGCCTGCCTCAGACGGCCGGCCGCTGGACTCGTCCTCTGCAAGCACCCGGCTCCTTGCTAGGTGGCAAGAAAGGGAGCCAGTGGTGACAATAAATAGAGCAGCTACACTTTTATTGAACAAATGCCAAATGCCCAAACCTTGCCACAGTTTTATGGGTTTTCCCCTTCTGTGCCTCTTCAGCCCCTAGAGGTTGCAAGTCAGCCTTGCTGTGTGATCTTTGGGCCCCAAATCTTATATCCTTGTTCTGTTGTGGGATACGAGGAAAGTTCTGTAACTACTCTGTGCCTTCATTTTCTTTTTGGGGGGTGGGGAGGCGCACCTTCTAAGGTTTTATAATAATGTAAGATTTTACTTCTCAAGGTTCGCCAACCTACTGAAGAGTTGCTCCAGGAAAAGAGTGAACTTTGCTAGGAGCTAACCAGGATTTAAAGATGTGGCATTCTTTGAATAAGAATTTCTGAGAATTTTATATAGCCATTGTCATAAATTTCCAAGGAGGACAGTGGCGTAACAAACGCTCACCCTCTCTCCTCGCCTTTCCTCCTACGTGTTGGGAGAGTTTTGGAGGGAACAGTAAAACAACCCTGTGTTATGTTCCAGGGAGACTGTCTGCAAAGCTAGCTGTGGAAGTTTCCTCCTCCATCTTTAGTCTCTCTGTCTAATGAAATGAAAAAGTAGACATACTGTTTTGTGTGATTTAATAGGAACTGGCAGTCTTGGTGAAGTGGGAAAACGAAAGCCCCTCACTGGCGCTGAGTGAGTTAGTCCCTGAAAGTGCCCTGGGTGTCAGAGGTTGCTAACAACCGCTCCACAGATGGGGAGACTGGGGCTCAGCCAGACGCATTTTCCTGACTCCTTGATTTGGACACAGCCTCCTTCCTCCCTCCCCAGGAAGATGCATGTCCTTGCTATAGGGAGAGAATCCCTCGTGGGTTTCTCTGACACTGCCTGGGGAGGGTGGGTGAATGGACAGCAAGGAGTTCAGGAACCAGACAGAGTCCTGCCTCCAACTCCTCATCCCCACCTCCCCTCCCCGGCCCCCACCCTGGCTCATTAACAGGAGGCCCTTGTTCAGGCCAGTGATGGATGGCAGGAGGCCAAGATGGGATGTGTTTACCCACCGGCCACCTGGCAGGCAGGGGCCCAGGCCCAGACACAAGTCAATGGGGGTTAGAGACTACTGAGTGAGAAGACTGGCACAAAGTCAGCGAGGAATAAATGATGATTGGTCAGTAGGACAAAATGAAATAACTTCACCCACGTGACAAACATTGACCCTAGTCGCACAGCCAACAGGACAGAGATGGTTTTCCGTCTCATAATCTGTGTTGGGTGGCCTGAAGCAGACGTGTGTGCACATATCATGAAGCATTTTCTGCACAAAAAAGGGGACGGTGGGGCTGGAAAAGGAGCCTAGCACAGGGGACCACTGTTTCAGGGATGCTGTGCCAAGACCTGACAGGCAAACAGGTGCTGGCAGATGAGGAGAGTCCCAGGCAG